GAGGGAGCGGCATTGGCGGCGCTTTCGGCCGGGTCAGCACTTGCTGGCTCTGCTTGCTTCTCCGTTTCCGCGGTCTTCTTCTTTCCTTGCTTGCCTCCCTTCTTGCATGCAGCCTTCGCCTTTGCCTGGGCTTTCTCCTCTTTGTCGATCAGCTTCTGTACCCTGGCATGCTCCTTCTGCTCCTTTGCTGCTTGCTTGTCTACCTTCTCTTTGGCCGCTGCCTTGCGGGCAATGTCTGCCATCTGCGCAGGGTACGGTGATCAAATCAGCAGAAAACACACAAACCAAAGAAGGCCCTCAACGAGCTACGGTAAAAGACCCACCGTGTAATTTTAACAACCATACTAATTACGATCTTGATGTCATATACATAAACATATATATATATATATATATATATATATATTTGTTGTGGGTTTAGGGTTTAGGATTTAAGGGTTTTGGGTTTAGGGGTTTAGGGTTTAGGGATGCAGTTAGGCCTTGAGTTGCTGCTTTGCAATATCGACCTCGGCCTTAGCAGCATCCTTAGCAGCGCCCGCTTGGTCAGCGATGTCAAGGATCGCATCTAGAAGCCGGTTCTGCTCTTCCGGACTGGGTAGGATAGCAGGCACACTCTCCACCGTTCCACGGGACTCCTGCTCTCTCTCTCTCTCTCTCTCTCTCTCTCTCTCTCTCTCGTTCTATCGGCGTGTGCATTCGAGCAGCGTTAACTGCTCTATCGTGATCATGTGATCATGACATACGGTATACCTGTTAACTGAATGTTATATATAATTAGTACATACTAGCCCGGAACTCGATCAACGAAACTCCAGGCTACACGTCGAAAACAAAAGACATGAGAAACAGATACCGTACAAGCTAGGTATACGAATTCGAGTCGAGTTCGAATGAGACCCAAGGCGGGCCTGCGTCGCCTGGCGCCTGTCCTCTGCCTGCAGCGTCGGCGGCTGCATCGGCATCTCGGTCTCGCTGATGCTCCACACTTGGGTCTCCATGTTGTCGGGGCTGGGCTTCGTGGAGTTCACCTATGGTGGAGATGGGATTTCAACAGTCAGACGACTTTGACTTTGACATCATAATAATTTGCGAGTGACAGGCCCATCAGCAGGAGCAGGAGGAGACAGATCCTCCCAGGATCAGTTGGAATATCGGTTCGTAAATAATTAATTATATGGTAGCAGTAGCAACATCAACCAGATTTTTTTAAATTGAAAGTGGTAACTGAGATCACCGAAAAGTTCGAATCGAAGAAACCCGGACCTGGAAGTGCTGAACCTTAAGCTCGCTGGGCGGGGGTGTAGCCAAGCTTTGCAAGGTCGACTTCAGCGGCGTCGTGAAGGGCTGCACATCTTCCTGGGCTCGGTTCGCTATATATATTAGCTTAGGGGTGCAGCTTAGAAACCCACAATAACATTAATCCGAGGAACGTCCATGTTAGCCACATCGGCCATGTCAACGTCGGATCCCTGCATTCAGTTGGCTATCAAGCTATGCTCCCGATTAACTAATTCGACACAGCAGAACCCTGGATTTACCTAGGACCCCACCCCTAGAAATTCCAAGGCCGAAACCCGAACGCTTAGAACCCTAAACCATCAATCCCCAAACCCTAAAGCCTGAAATCTAGAACGTCTTTATCCATAGGTTTATTGTCTTGGTTGTTTCTGAGCTTGGGTGTATATATATATATATATATATATATATACAGCGGTTATAGTTTATAATATAATTCACATTCCCCCGATCCGGACAATAATAATATATTTTATCTGATCTGAAGCTTAAAGCTTCTAGCCTGTAGAGACTCGGCCATTGTCTCCTGGTCCTTGGCAATGTCCTGCACAGCTTGGTCGATGACCGCATCCGTGTCGACAGCACCACCTTGCGGCAATACCAAATCTAGTAGTGCAAATGATTTGGATTCTACGGCGTTCTAGGGGCACTGTGCTGCCAACCCTGTCACGAAGCACCTGCCAGATCCTTCACGGTTTGCCTGATAATCTGCTTGAGGGCCAACACCTTTGCACTCCTCGGAGCTCGGAGGGAAAAAACAGTTCTGCATGGGTGCGTACAGGATATGGGTTTTTTTATCAGGGTGAGGCGCCGAGCTCCAACTGCCCTTTTGGCTAAGGTAAGTCCGTAGGCAGCAGCCCCACGAATCGTAGCGCCTTCCGAAGCTGCCCAGTCCTTAGATTAAGCAGGCTATCCGTATACTATATACCTATTATTCGACGATTCGTGCTATCTCTAGTATAACTGCAAGCATGATGCACGAAGAACCTTGCGCTTGGTATTCTCGGGGAATATTCCAAATCGCCTCGCCAACATAAGTACCACTTCCTAGCAGGGCATGCAGTGTTTCAAGGGTGCCTGCTAAGTTGTTCCATGCATGCATGTCTCAGCGATAACGAAGATCTCCTGATGCACCGAGAGAACCGGGATGGACGATCCGAAAGTGCCATAATACTCAGCATAAAAGCTGAAATGCTTTTCGATCTCGCAGGGATACATGAACTTATGGACACATTCAATCTTGTTTTTCAGCATACATGCCGAGCCTGGTCGGGGGAGCAGACACCGGCTGGCGCGATGTCTAGGATAGTTTTTCCCACACCCTAGCGATCGATTGCATGCATGCACGAACGTAAACCTGAAGTGCCAAATTTAAAACAACGGTGGCCTTGTATTTCCTGATCTCGTCCAGCCGGCTGCCCTCCATCAAGTAGCTGCTAAGCAGATCCTGCAGGCATGGGGCTATTATATGACTATTATATATATTTTTATTATTGAATTCTAAGCTTAAGGGAAGAGGGTTAGAGTGAGAGGTCAGTGATCCGTCTATATATATACACACAAATATAGTGGTATAAATAATGGTTTCAATTATATTTATAGATATATATATATATATATGTATATATATATATATATATATTAAAAAAAAATGATTGAACTCTCAAACGGGCCTCGAACATGGCCCGCTGATAGACTCGCTGATGAAGCTCCGGTGCCGGCGCCATCGTCCTTATCTAGAAAAAAAAAATATATATATATATATATATATATATATGTGTTGCGGGCTTATTATTTGAACATGTATTTTCTCGCAGACAGATATAGCAGATAAGTTGCACGGATCTCGCACAAAAGAGGGCAGGGCTTCGCACTTGTTTAAACAGCCCGGGCCAAAACGAAACTGCAGTTTGAATCTGAATGGAATCGAAATTGAAAGAGCATGTGCACAACTCTGCAATAACAGCATCACGAACGTATGGGGAGGAGCATCGGGCCTCCTCGAAGTGCCCAAGCTTCGTCCTCCGGGGGGAGGTCGAGGTCGTCATCTGCAGGCCGGCTTTCCGGCACCGGCACTGATCGTGATCGGTATCTCGCACCCGCTGTCGACGAAGAGGCAGCACCGAAATCTCCGGCACCCGCGCGGCCTAGGCAGTGGATATTGGCACATATAATTTAGAGACTCTGTCGCAATTCGTGTGCTTAAGATGCGGGCACTCTGATCGAAATATGTGCCGCCGCATCCCTCACAGTCTCCCACACGGCCTGGGCACAGGAACTTGTCACCAGGTTTATCTTATGATTATTTGTAGCTCGAGTGCTGTCGAAATCGGTTCAGTATACTAAGCTTCAGACTCGCGAGTGTGGCAGCACATCGATCGCTCATGGAATTGCAAAGCAATGCAATTCGAACAGTGAAACATCCAGGCAGGCTCTAGCGTTGATTTACAAATGTGTACCCTCTTATAGCGCCCAACCGGTATCATCTAGTATTCTAGTATACGGACGCAATTTGCTAGGTAAGTTTTCTACCACATATTTAGTCCAACTAAGCTACGGCTTAAGGGCTGGGCATGGGTAGTGGGTATTTATTTACTCTAAAGCGATTGAAATATATTAGTCTATATAATATTTGTAAATAGAGATCTAGATCTGTAGGTGCAATATATAACTATATCTATATCTCTCTAAACTATATATGTCTCACCAGTATGTTATACAGTATTTGTCGAAATTATTGTGGGGTCCAGCCAAGCATCTGGACTACTGAGAGCCTCATCGACAAACACGGTCGGCCACTTCAACCACCACCCTGTGCAGCCGAATCCCGGCCCCGAATGCAAAACCACCACGTAATTATAATGCTAACCAATACGAAATCGATCCCCAAACTGATCTGAAGCCCCCATCGCACAGACCGGCAAGTAGAATATTGTTCAAGGCAGCTGAACATGACGATTACAAGTGGTATTTCCGAATACAGTGCGAGAGACCGCCCGACATGAGATAGCACTTAATATAAGTATTACACATATATATATATATATAATTAGAATTTATATAGATAGACTATATTCTTTGGGTCTCTGGAGGTTGTTTTCCATTTCCTCACTCACACACACACACTCCGGGTGACCGGGTGTTGCGAATTATGACCATGCGATCAAGAAGCATGCGCTAATTCACATACAAAATAGACGACCCCGACACCTGGACAGCAAAGGTTCGATTCTAGGGTCGAGTTCGATGTGTACGAGTCGTGATGATGTTGATTCGATCATATGAGAATGAGGTGGGCCCTGGATCAAGCTCCCCCAAGCCCAAATCACGGTGATCACGGGGGCCCTGGGGCTGCGTAGGCGAAAAACGACTACATACAGAATGTATGCAAAATCCGGGCACATTGCATACGTAGCCGATTCTGGAAGACACGGAGTGGCAGGGTTATATACCAATGATCCAGAGGCCCGCGTTGAACCTTATCAAAACCTATACACATGCCTGCAAAAAAAAACCTGAAATTTCAAAACCCCACAAAGCCCTAAAAAGATGCCTGCCCCATACTGTAAACCATGCTAAACCCTTAAGCCCTAACCCTAAAACTTAAACATGCTTCAACCTTAAGCCCTGATCCCTAAACCTTCGCAAACCATAAACCCTACATCCTTGAACCTTACATACACCCAAAAGATACAAGCCCCGGCCTGCCCACTTGCTTCTCCTGTGAGAGAACGGCTTTCGGTGGCTGCGGGCCCCGTCGGCGCCTGGAGGACCTTCGTTAGGGCACCCAAAAAGCACGTAAGCAAAAATAGGGATGCGGATATCCCATATAAACTTATGGGGTCTTAAGCCCCGTAACATATGCATACATATACATGTACATATACATATACATGTACATATACATATACATACACATATACATGTATGTATGTGTGTATGTATGTATGTATGTATATATATATACCCCAATGAAGTCCAGTATAGGGTACGGACATCCCCACAAAATGCTTATGCTTATGTCCCTTTGGAGTTTCGAATTCGTGGTGTGACCGTGTGTCGCAAGCGGTGTCGCAAGCGGCAATTTAGGGGGATGTCAGGGTATGTAGGGTTTCCCTATCAGGGTTCCTTTAAGGGCTCCCCTAAGGGCTCCTTTCAGGGTTCCAGGTTCCTTTCAGATGTAGAAGAATGCCGAAAGCGGCAACTTAGGGGATTTGGGAGTTGCCGAAAATTAGGGGTACCCTATTGTGGGGTCCTTATCATAAGGATCCTACTGTTTAGGGTACTATAATATTAGGGTCCCCTCTTTTCGAAAACTCTCATATCAGTGTATAAAGGGTGTACGTATAGTCTTCATTGTAGTTCCTTGTTTGGGTTAACCCAGTTGTATGTGTAGGATCCTACAAGGTAACCCCCAAAACTCTCTTCTTCAACAACCGGGTCCCCAAAATCTCAAACTTTCTAAGCCAGAGCTAATATACCAGACCACAAAGTTTAAAGTTCTCCCGGTCGCTATCTAAAAAAGGAACTGCAATGGAGACTATTATTGGTATAAGGTTGAGGGATCTAGCAACTTTAGTGGGTCCAGGCTTTAAGATGGACTTTAGGAATCTAGCAGAACTTGATGAGGTCATTTCCCTGTGATTAGCGGCGTTTCCGAGCCGGCTTGCTGTCTGCGGTTTATGTACAGGGTGTAACTAAACCGTTTGGGCGTATACGAGCAGATTGGAGATTTGGGCTGGCTTCGGGCTTGTAAGGGTTTGATGAAGCCTTCCCTGGGTGTAAATGTTTGCAGGATACATAATAAAACACGCTCCGAAAGAACTTTGTGGTGCTGGCTTGGACAAAAAGATGTTGAAAGGTTCTACAGTGTATGGACCCGGAACCTAACTCTGGGGCTGTGGGTCGATTGCACAGAGAAATCCTGAACCCTAAACCCCACCGCAAGCCCAAATCTTAAAATGTAATCCCAAGCCCAAAACCCAAACCCTGGACCATCCTGTCAAACGGTAGATTTCTCTGAGCTCCCGAGCCCACGACCGAAATTGTGGAACAGCTTGCAACATTGCACTATGCATCGCGACAACCCCAAAAACCCTTGCCCTGGAAGTAAAGAATGTTTAGCTGGCTTGGCGAACCCTATCTATCTATCTATCTGTACATATATATATATATGTATATATATATATGTATATATATGTATATATATATATATATATATATATATAGGCCCTAAACCCTGAACCCTGTAACCCTCAAAGTCGATTTGGCAGTCACCAATGTCTGGAATCCGTGCTTGTTGCTCTGCTCCTCACACTTTCACAACAGTCACGGTCATGAACTTGACTGGCTCCGCCCCGATCACCAGGTCGTTCGCCGTTCACAAGTGGAAGACGCAGAAGTAGGAAAAGGCCCAGGAACATTACGCCACTGCTGCGCCACCGTGGGCTCTCTCCCCCCGACACTGCCGAGCGCACCGCGCCACAGCACAATCAGATGGCGCATGCGCATGCCTGCTTGTAACCGCATTCAGAAAATGATTTCTGTCCTCAATGACGACACCAGGGCTTGCAGCGACATCCCTGTATAGTGGCCTGTATAGTAACACGTATATAGCCACCCTCATAGTATATCTCAATATTATATACCCCCTAAGCCTTAAGCCCTATGAACCCTAAGCCCCTCCTTATGTCCCACATTGTCAGACTGTCATGTACATTAACCCTAAAATCTAAAACTTGGGCGGGTCAAATGGTTCAGACCGGAAATTAAATTCACCCCAAGCTCCGGTTCAGAGTTTTTAGGGCTGCGGGTTCAAACGCCTAAAGTGGGCCTTCACCCTTGGAATAAGGCCTTGGGGTAAAACTACGACAACGTTGCATGGAGGAAGCCGAAGAAACGGTACTTCTGTCCATTCCATCCTTTTACATTTTTACCCGAGGCAGACGTGAAAATGCAGTCCTCGACCTTAAACCCCAACCCTGAACCCGCAACAAGGATTAGACCGTCCTTGTGCATTGCAATACCCACACGGCGCACACCCTCACAAAGCATACACCTGCATCCCTGGTCCCACTGTTCCTGCATATCTCCCACTAAGCAAAAACACCTGGACCTAAACCCAGCATTCTAAACTCTAAGCAGCCAATTCGCCCCAAAACCGGAAACCTCGCGGCAGCAGCAGTTGTGGTGTTAAGGGTCTGTCCATCATCGCCCTCCCACAAAAGTACCAAACTCTGCAAGTACTGCTACCCTACTGTATGCCTAAATCCCGGCCAGGCACCTCGACAATTATTCAGTAGCTTGGACCCTGGGATGCCAGCAGTCGTCGTCGTCGCCACCGAAGTAACCAGATGTAGTATAGTATAAACCGTAATCGTCGTCGCGCGACTCGTACGAGTCGCAAATCCTCAAACCCAAACCCTAAACGCTCTATATACCCCCAGCACCATAAACCCTGAAACCCTCAAATCCCACAACTGAAAAACCCTATATACTCTTAAGGGTGCCTAGAGATCCCTCAAAAAGGCCTAAGTGTACCATACTAGGGGCCCATGCTTCTAACCTTAGAGTCAACGAAGCTTGCCTATGGGACCGATACTCCTCAATAGTCTCCTGGGCCTGCCGGGTACTGTGGGACGGTTGGATGTTTTAGGAGGTTTAGGGTTTAGGGTTCGGGATTTCGGGGTTCCTTTTCTCTAGGCGTCTAGGGTTTAGGGGTTTAGGATTTCAGGGTCCCCTTTTCGGCTTCTATAACCTCTCAGGTATCTACAGCGAGCTTGCAGGGATCGGGGACTTAGCGTTTAGGGTTTAAGGGATGAGTGCTACACTTTGGGGTATGGGAGTTTTTGGTTTTGGATTTCAGGGTTCAGGGTTAGGGTCAGCGATAATCAACCAAAAAGCCAGATGCCTGAACCTAAATGAGTCAGTACGGCAACTGTGCTATAACACCGCATGTTGTGTTCCTGCAGCTGCTTGGGCTTCGTAGCTCAGCAGGCGCAGGGTTTATCAACTGAGGCGTAGATTCTAGGCTCTTGAAAAAACGAGAACTCCAGCAGACCAATGAATCATCTCTACTTCCTGTGCTTCAGAACACCTGACCCTAAATGGTCTCTTGGGGCAGCGGCAGGGCGGTACAGGAGGGATTCGAGCCAGGAGTCTGCCAGCCCTGATAGTAACCCTTATGTTGTCCGTATACTGCCCGTAGTCATAGTTATACTCATAGAACTCTTCTAGATCCCTTGAAGAAAAACAGAACTCTTGTAGAAGCCAAAACAGGAGCCCTATGCGCACCCTCGTTGACCTCTGGGAGATCTCCGAGCTTTTGGGAGCCTGTTAATGCCGTGCGGGCCTTTTGGTAAGCACATGTGCAGCTCTGCAGCAGCGTAACTATACAAGAGTTATAGAAACTGTAGCACTAATCCAACACTGCCGACCCTACTTGCCACTAGCCGTGATCGAATCCCGAAATCCAAACACCAAGCCCGGAAGCCTACATGTTACACTCACTGACAGTAATTATGAGGCTCGGGTTGACCCGGGCCACATCGCGGGGGGAAGCCAAATAGAGTTCCTGGAAATCTGCTAACCTTCGAACTTAGGGCGTAGCACATTTCATTCTGAGACTTCCGGGAAACCCTCAGCCCTGAAGCCCACCCTAAACCCTAAGCCCTAAAACACCAGAAGTCCAGATCAAGCCCTACAACACAACTATGAAGCCTTATAGAGGCCCTTTCAAAATGTGCACTCTATCAACCCCCTGCCAACAAAAACCGACAACTCACCAGAAAGCTCTACGGAACCCTTCTACAACCTTAAAGATCCATAACAGTCCATAACACAGAATAAAGGGTTTAGGGTTTAGGGAGTTTAGGTTGCCTGACCGTACTCGAAGAGGAGCTGGCGGACCTGCCTCAGACGCACTTGGGCCAAAATGTGCTGAGAAAGAGTCAGGGTTTACGGTTTGGAGCTTCAGTTTTGGGCTTGCGGGGTCCAAAGATGTTGGAGGCTTGGGGTTTTAGAGATTATAGCGGTCGTGGTTCAAAGTTCATTGTCCAAGGACCACACCCAACAATCATCAAGGCCGGTTGAGGGTCATGCTGCCGCGACCTAGCTACCGGAATTTTTCGGGAACGAGCTTACACAAGCCCGACCCTAAGCCCTACATACTATTAGGGTTGTGTGGTATATCATACTATAAGTATAAGTGCAAAAGAAGGAACCCAAACAATAATAAAAAGGAGCCCCAACAATAATATTACTAGTTGTTCGCATCGAAGTAACTCGAGATCAAGCTTCAACCCTACACCTCTGGTAGCTTCTCAGAGCTTCATCCGTCAGGTGTTGACTTGCCGACTCTAAGCCACAAGCCGCAACACAACTATCACAGACCGTTCTGAACCCTAGACCTTATAAAATTATAACTAACCTGCAACCCTTAACTTTAACATTCCCCCGAGGCCGGAGCCCCAAACCCTCGGAGACCAGTCTACAGAAACGCAGCCCCATTTCTGCTCCCAGAACTACAGGAATTGATTCTGAAATCTGGTTCAGGACTGTTACTTTCGGCCTCGGGTTTTGGGTTCGGGCTTTTTGGTTTCGGGTTTCGGATGTTTGGGACTTGGGTTTGAGGTTTGAGGCGGAAATTTGGGGAAGATTAGGGAAGATGTGTCATTGAGTTTGGAGTTTTTGCCTAGAGTGCACGGTCCTTCGTTGAGCTAGGATTTCCTGCCTAGAGTGCACGGTCCTTCGGGCTTTGAATCCGATCCCACCCCCTGCAGACACAACCCTTCAACAGCCCTACGAACAATGTAGACTGTGGATGGTAATGAGTGTTCATAGTAATATTCGTAGTATGATTTTCATTTGGTTTATACGAAACCAGCAACAAGCAGAGCAACGAAAAGACTAGTGATAATCCTAACTCCCATAAAGAACCTGCTGTGGCTAAAGCGAGCAAAGCAGTAGCCCCCCCGACCCCCCCCCCCCCCACACCAACTCTCAACCTTGCTCCTAGCATGTAACCCCCCCACCCCCTGAGCCAGGGTCATTTCGAGCAAGGTTCGTTGGCTCTGCATAGCCTCGTTTTGGACCTTCGCTCCCAGGTTCGAGCTCGATAACGAGACTAGGGTCTCAATCATAAGGAGTCTTGAAAGGACTTCATGTGGTTTGTGGGTATTATAGAATTCGAAAAAAGGGAGGTTATAGAACAGGGTCGTTGCTTTCAGGTTTTATGTCGAAAAGTGATAAGATATCAGGTGTTCACGGCCTGGTTGTAATTTGGATGAGTTTGGATTGCCGGTGCGCGATTTTGGTGCCGGTGTTTCGATTTCGGAGTGAGTGCGGCCATGCATTCATGACTTGAGGAGACCAGCATGCTCGGAAACATGTCAGCCGGAATGTCACGGACATTGACCTGCAGCGAGCCTGTACATGAGGTTTGCATGTGTGTATGCACGTATGTGTATGTGAATTTATGGGTACATAAGTGTGTGTATATATATATATATATATATATATATTCGTCTTCTATGCATATATGTATATTTGTATGTGTATATATATATATATATACACATATATATATATATATATATATATATATATTCATATACATATACTGCACAATCATGCCGAGAGAGAGGACGAAAGAGACATAGGCGACATAGGGACACACACACACACGCACAGCGAGAGAGAGATTGAGACAGAGAGCGCCAGAGAGAGAGAGAGAGAGAGGTTCTTGTAGGGTCTCAGTACATTCTACATTTTGGGCTCAACCCGAAAAGACTGCAAGAGAGTATACGTTCCGGTAGCTTAAGGTAGAACCTCTACCCTCAAGGGCGCGCCTGGCCCTCCAGCTCTGCATCCATCTCCATCGCCCGAGCCCTGGTAGGAAGTTGGGTGTTAAGGTGCAGGGTTTGGGGTTTTGGGGGTAAGGCTTTTATAGAGGTAGGGGTTTTAGAGGGACTAGGGGCTATGAAGGCTGTTTTCTGTAGAGCTCCAATGTGGTAAAGGTGTGTTTGCTCGGTTCTCAGGTTTGGGGGTTCAGGCTTCTGGGCTCTAGGTTTAGGCATTGTAGGGCTTAGGACGATTGGGGCTCAGGGTTTAGGACACGGTGAGCTTGGGAATTTTAGGCTTGGGGGTTCAGTTCAGACCAGGGTTCCGGCTGCGAGAACCACTATCGTCGAGAACAACAGCCGCTCGAAACTTGAAGCCAAACGATGGCATGGCACTTGAAGCCTGGAACTCCGTTTAACCCAGTGGACAGGCCCTAAGTCCTCAACCCTGGGCCACCCCAGAAACCGGTCACTTTTCCTCTACACCCTACACCCCCAAACCCTAAATATCACCCCTAAACCCTAAATCCGAAATAATCCTTGCCTTAACCCGGAATTTTGACGACTTGTTTAAGGACATCACAATAAGGAAGCCCTAAAACGGTAGGTTATTCAGGGTTAATGGTGATCCTAAAACACAGGCATCCCTCGACCCTAAATCCGAAATACGGTTGATGATATAATTATGGTATATTCCTTATTATCGGTAATGCAGGATTTAGATCATCAGCCGTACCCCCAAACCTAAACTAAAACCCTCCAGGCCTTAGGTAGTGCACCGCGAGTTTCAACTCCGCCTTCCTTTGGTGGATCATCTCATCCTGTGCTTTTCTTAAGGAAGTTAGGGTTTAGGGTTTTTGGTTTTGGGGTTTAAAGTTTTGGGTTTTTGGTTTTGAGGTTTAGGGTTTAAGGTTCATAGGGTTTAGCGTTAAGGGTTTTTGGTTTTAAGGTTGAGGGCTTTGGGCTTTAAGGTTTAGGGTCTGGGGCATAGGGCTTAGGTTAAGCTACCACAATCGGGAGACCCTATTACTTACCATAGACCCCGATTATGGTAACTTTCAACAAGCAACGGATGGGATGATTCCACTTTTTGCTGTGCTATGACATGCGTAAAAATCTGTTCTGCTTACATAAGGCCTCTCTTTCTTTAGGCCTAAACTTCCATGGATCAATGTCTCGGGTCAAGGTCGGTACCGAGTTCTTGCTAGGACATATGATTGGTTTAGGGTCAGGATTTAATTTAAGCTGCCATAATCGGGATCTACAGTAAGCAAGAGGGCTTCCTTATGATCGTAACTTCAGTTTGAAGCCTTAACACGGCTGCAACCACCGATTGGCCCTGCAACCCACATCTCTAACTCGGAGTTAGGGAACCTTACTGAAGTTACCGAAGCAAGGAAGTACTCTTGTTCACTCTCTATCCCAGGTGTGGCACCTTAAGCTGAGTTCGCCTAACAACGGGAATCCAACGCACTTGTAAATCGTACCACTGCATTGTGATAGCCAAATAAACATACAATCCCATATCCGGCTTCAGGAGTTTGGACTGCACCTGAACCCGCCCCGGCCTGCTTGTCTGCATGCGCACGATGGTATTCCGACTGCTTCTCATGACCTCAATGGGCTTGGGGAAAAAGGCACTTGAAAGAATCTTTTCGATTCTTATAGAAGGGTCTGCAGCTCTTGATGGTCCTCTTACAAGTCCTTCAAAACCCCTGCGAACCCTCATCCACGAGGCCAAAACAGCCCGAGAGAACCATCCTTCTGGCCATTCTTCGGATCCATTTACCAACTGCCCCACCGAGGATCCATCCTGCTCACTCCGGACGGGAACCTACAACCCTAAACCTGAAATCTAAAATGCTATAAAGCCCTTTAAGCCGTAAGATAGCCTGAAACCATCAACCTCCGAGTATTGCTTCCTGGATTCATGAACCTCAGGATCTACGGCATTTGTTTGGGGGGGTACTGTAGGGGCCTTAATAAATAGAACAGGGTTTCGTGGCCCATTGGACTATGACAACCATACGGAACCCCCCCAACAAAAAGTACAGGTAGTTATTAAGGCCCCTGCAGCATTTGTCCTAGTTGTCCAATATCCTGACGGAACCAAAAGATTCAAGGTTAGCTGTTCTACTACCGTAGTGGATTGTATCACCTTAGCAGCCTGAAGCCGAAACCCGGCAAACCAGAAGCAGAATCGGAACCACGTGTTCAACCCTAGAACCCTGCTATGAGGGCCGGAGATAGCATTCAAGGTTAAGCCGGTTGAGCCTTAGCGGCATCATTATGCTGCACGTAGCTGAACCCTAGGGATGATTCATCCCTGAGGGTCCATGTACCTAAATAGTATATACATTGGCCTTAAAGTACTCCCCATATGGGTACATTGGGCCCAAAGCGTATACCATTTGGGTACATGGACCCTTAGGGAACCACTCCAGCCCCTATCTTGCATAACTTGGGAGTCGAAAGGCAAGACAGTATGTTCCCATGCAATTCCAAGCATGCAAGACTTGTTCAGTTGCGTCTCAAATGGGTTCCGAGCACGGGACGATGGCACCATCGTAAACACGATTTACCCCTCAAAGGGTCTAAAAGTAACAGCCCTTGAGCCTCATATTGTGACGTTAGGGTGTCTTGATTCTGTTCTGTACTTTGGAACATTAAGGCGGATCAGCAGATCGCAAGTCCCGAGGATACTTTACTACTTTGGTTTGTATCCTGTATTCTTTGACTGCCAGAAGCTTGCAGGAATCGCAGCAACCCAGAACGGCCTTTTTGGGTGGTGGGGGTTCCATAATTCCTTCTCATCTTTCTGAACCGCTCCCCTCCAGACATCCAAGCCCTTGACGCTTGAGGTGTGCTGGGCTCGGGAACCACCTGTCCAGCATGTCTGGAGCGGAGCAGGCTGACGGGCTTACAGATATTCGGAGCTAGTGTTTGGAATGGATAACCTACTTGTCGGGTATCATAGGGAACTAAAGGTTAATTAACCTTTTGGGTTATATAGGGGTTATATAGGGACTATACTAACCCAAAAAGGTTAAAGGTTTCCTATTCTACTACTAGGATAAGGTGACCATTTTAGGATTACGGGCTGAGGGTTTTCAAGGACTGTGGAATCTGGGAGTTGGGGATATAGCTTGAAGGTTTACGGCTGCGGAACCGGCAAAGGAACTCACCCAACTTTGCTTGCATCAGAACTCTCACAGTCCCAGGTATCCACGACAGCTTTAGCTGTCAAAAATCTCCGCAAGGGTGTGGGGGGGCTTTGGGCCCTGTTTCGAGTTTGGGGCTTCTGGGAGTTTAGGGTTTAAGGATTGGGGTTTAGGGCCCGGCTCTCAAATCTCTGAAGCCCTCAGGCGCTCATACGAAGCTCTACAAGAATCATAAGCCAGAACACTACTTGAAGGATCATGGGACTTAGTAAGTAGGTTAAAAATTAGGGTAACTCTACTTATAACTACTTATAACCTACTAAGTCCCATGATCCTTTAAGTAAAGGAACCTGATCTGCCCCCTGCCAAACTCCAAAGCCTGAGCTCCAAAAGCAAACGCAAAGCCACTCTGCAGCAAGGACTTCAGTGCTCGTTCCTGCTTCAGTCTCTGTAAAGCTGGGTAAGAAGTGCCCTAGCGAAATCCTGAACACCCAAACGACAAAGCTACGAAGACCCTACAGAAAACAACAGCCCAATCTCTCCAAGAAGGTCTAGAACCCTAAACCCTACAGTAAACCCCATAAAGTTGGAAACCGGATTAAGGACAACTAGTGCTAGGAACCCCTATGCATTAGTCTTCAGGATTGAGGCTATTGGGCTTCCAACTTTGGGGCTTCTACTATAATCCCAAAAACCCCTAAACCCCAAACCTCCATCCAGCAGCACCAGCGCACCTCCTACAAAGAAAGCACGGAATCCGAGTTCTAGCAGCCTGACCTGGTTTAGGGTTTTAGGGTACAGGGGTTTCGGGGATTGGGGTTTTAGGGATTTTTGGGTTTAGGGGTTTAGGGTTTAGGGTTTTTACGGTTTTTAGGCTTTTAGGGTTTAGGGTTTTTACGTAGGGTTTTAGGGTTTGGGGTTGACAGGAGAGTTTTAGGGTACAGAGGGTTTAGGGCTTGGGTTTTTCGGGTTAGGGGTTTAGGAGTTTGGGGGTTAGGGTTATGAGGGTGTGTACAAGGCGCTGCAAGGAATTTTGTAAGGGGGTTGAAAAGGCTGTTTACAGGTATGGTTTAGGCTTAGTTTTACGAGGTTTGATGGCGGGTTCGGGCCTGAAGGCTGTTTGGGTTCAAGGGTTTTGGATTTAGGGTGTATATATCCTCGGTGAAAAGATCCCAGAAAATTGATCCGAAGTTCTAGCAAAGATCTGACTTTGTAATGTCCGGGCTACTTGGAGCTTTCGAAATTAGCGGGTTTCTGGTGTCTCTCACGACCCCACTCGGAACCAACTGCATGTAAGCGAAGTGCACCCCAAGGAACCTGCGCCCTGAAGCCACAACCGAAATCTGGGACTTTGAGACCTGAGGAGCCGTAGTGTTAGAATAAGGCTTTGGGGCTCGTTATACTGTAATTATGATAAGGAACCCTCAACATAGTATAGTTAATTATTACAGCCCCTACGTGTATATTAAGCCGCAAACTTTGAACCCGAACCTGGGATGTCGGAGTCTTATCAACAACCAAAAAGCATGGCTCACAGGGCAGACTGCCAGGTTTGGATGGGCATTGGTTAGACTCACTGTCCGAAGCCATGCTACCTGCTGAGCAGGATTTGTTACAAGCCTTGCCAAATATAGGAGGTTTAGGGTGAAGGCATGTAGCTGGGTTCTGGCTGAAGGGTCAAGCACCAGGGGTGTAAGAGCAGTAACTTCGAGCTCTAACCCCTGACTTGCCAGACCCCCAGACCCAAAATTCAGAACCTCAAAGAGACTACTACTGCTACTACTACTACTACTAGTACTACTACTACTACTGCTACTGCCTGGGTGAGATCCAGCATTGGGTCCTCACTGTTCACACTGTAGTGGCAGTCTTGGCCCAAACCCGAAACCCTAAGCCCCTGAACCTCTAAACCGTAAACCCTAATATGAAGCTTGCTCGGCACTCAACTATGATCACACTAAAACACTGCATTCAGCCATTGCTCTTGAGGGCCGATTCTGATAAGGGCCGCTGTAAACAAACACGCCCGAAAGCTCAAATCCTGAGCCCTCAAAGCTGCCAAAGGCTACGCCGGACTGCTTCAACCCCCGAAGATGTCAGGAAGGGTTTAGGGTTTAGTTTATAGGGTTTAGGGTTTAAAGTTTAGGGTTTAGGGCTTAGAGTCTAGGGTTTCCCATGCCCCGAACCAGGATCTACCATCCTTTATTCCATGCTTGAACCTTTCTGGCGTCCTTGCTGTTCAGAAACGTTCCAGAGCCCCTTCCGAGCCTGCGCTGCTCTTCACGGGCAAGCAGACGGCACTCTTCTGCCCAGCCTGGGCAGTGTAATGTAGGGGCCTTAATGGTTAGACTAGGGTTCCTTTAAAGGTTTCCTTTAAGGGATAAGGGTAAGCTTCGGTGTGTCCAAGGAAGCAGAAACCCGCGATGCAACTCCCCAAGTCCCTCAAACAGCGAGCTAGGGGGCAACGGGGGCAACAGCCTTGCTGTAGGCTGTACGGCTGATGTGAGGATGCGCAGTTCAGTTCTAGGGCAACTACTTCAACTTCAGCGTCTGATCATGGTTTTTCATTCGAATACTCCGGGTGCAGTGTAATCGCTTTAGGGCTCAAGCAGAGGCTTTTGTATCGTGAGGATGAGGAACCTGCTTTTGAGGCTAAGAAAACAGTACAGTATCCCTCACGCATACCACACGCCCCAAACCCGAACAACTAACCCGAACTATCAAATGCCGAATCCTACCATCAAGGTCTTAAACATGCCAGAAACATCACAAAACCACGGCGGGTGCCCAGCATCCTTCTCCTTGGCGTCCTTCACGACTTTGGCCACCATGGTGAACAAAGGAGCGAGGGAGGCTTTAGGGTGGAACTTGGGATCGGTCGGAAGCTTGAGCTTCAGGGTTCCGGGCTGGAGGTGTCAGGCTGTTCTCGGGCTTGGGGTTTAGGGTTTAGGGTTGAGGGGCGTGGGGTCGAAATGCAAGGTCCGTGGAGTTGAGGGATGAGGCCTAGCACTTGCAGGACACAGCCACACAGCAATCATACGTCTTCTCTTTAGGCTTGTCGGGGATCAAATCCAATCTTCTGAAGTGTCTAGGAGCGATGAAGGATGCAAAGTCGACCCTGCTTGCGTAAAACTGATGTTAGTGGCTTGAGCCCGAGTCCTGTCACATGTGCCGCACGAGGACAGCATGTGCTTCTTTCTACGCTATTTCAAAAATACCTCAGATGGGGCCTGCTCTGCATGACTTCTAACCATCGACTCAGCAACGAAGCCCAATTACCCTGGCGGAATCTTCGCGTGAAGGTGTGACTACTTCACACAGCTCCGCAGAGTAAACTCCGCAAACTCAGGTTCAAATGTTCACATGAATCTAGTTGTTGCGCCCACCGGTTCTGAAGGAGCATCAGCACTGAACCATCACCACCACCCTTCGCCTTCACCGTCGTTGCAATGACCGCTCTGTTGCAGGAAAATGGTCAAAACGTTAAGGGAAGGGCACGCTTTTTTATCTTGACTGCAGTGGATGTGGGCTGTGCAACCGCTTCTGCCACACATGCCTGGGTCGTCAAATTGCGGCCCTGTTCCGCCAGCTCCTGAGAAGCGGAAACCCATATCTAAACGAGCCTTTGGTACGGTGTGAACTCCCACCCTAAGGGTCCAAGTAGTCCCTATTTATGGTTTTTGGTACCTAATAAGGCCCTAGAGCTGTCGGCTCAGTCTACAGTTTGCTTTCTTGTAGAATCTGAACGTAGTGCATTCGCAGCCTACAGCCTCGGGTTTAGGGTTTAGGGTTCGTAAACTTATATAGGGTTTCAGGATAAAGGTTCATAAAACTTCGGTATTCGGCTTTAGGTTTGCAAAAACACCGGAATTTAATAGGGTTGAGTACATAACAGTAGGCCTACCGGCGCCTCCATCTTCTCCTGAGCTGAACTCGATCTCGCTTCTGTCTTTGTGAAGCAAGCTGGGTCTGCAGTTGTTCAGGGCTCCAAAGGTCCATGTACCTAAATAGTATATACAGTGGCCTTAAAGTACTCCCTATATGGGTACATTGGGCCCAAAGTATATACTATTTGGGCACATGGACCCTTATCTATAGGTCGTAGTTCGGGTTTAGGATTTACGGTTTACCTTAGGCTCCCGTTGCCGATTTTTTGTAGAAGGGGCTTATGACAGAACTCCAAGAATTACAGAGCGTATAGGGGCCCTACAGACAAGTAGGTTTAGGATCGGATTCGAAGTTTAGGGCGCAGTTTAGGACATCGGGATCTCGATCCGTACGAAAAAGCTCCCAAACGCCCCCAATTTCGAGTCCTGCGGTGCTTGCGCTGCCTTTGTCCAACTCGAAAATTTTAGAGGGTCCGTATGCTGAGGATCCTGCTTTTTGAGCCTCTTTCTTTAGGGGGGTAGGGTGTTTAGGATTTAGGGTTCAGGGCCATTTTCTGAACCCCCAAACTACAATATGATCTATAAGGCAAAAACGATGAGTCCGAAGCTAAGCCTTGAAGCCCAAGAGCATTTACAACGCATAGCCTCCAGAATCCAAAACCTCTTCGTTCGGTTCCAAAACAGCCCACAGACGAAAAACCTTCGCTTTTGAAGGACATGAGAGTTCTTCAGTCGCCATAGCAATAATGAGGGGCGCGAAACTATAACAAGTGCAGTTCTCTAGGATTCTGTATTAAGCTAGACACCCCAACTACCTTCTACTGTACCCTGAATTCACACGATTAAGAACTCTAAGGGCTAGGGCTCTGTTCAAGCGCACTTGTGGGGCCCCGAATCTTTCAGTCCCAGCTTGCGGAACTCAGAGCTCCATGTTTCGACTGGTGAATGGCCGTTGTTTTCACGGACGAGGCCGGTCAGGTTTGCGCGTGTAGAGGTTTTAAAATACTATGGTAGAAGCCAGAAAGCTGGAACATTAGTTAAGGGATCCTAGCACTAATCCTCCTAAACCAATGTTCCAACTTTCTGGCTTCTACTGTAGCCTTCAGGTGAAGGTAGGATATGGGTTGTATACGAAACAATAAGTGGCAACACGGGGAATTAAAATCACCCCCAAGACGGTACCCAGTACAAGAGTCTGAGCCCTAGGCCCTAGACCCCTAAATCCCTAAACCTAAACCCTAACCGCCCTAACCCTAAACCCCTTAACCCTAAACTTAGGCCCCACTGAACTTGAAGTTTTGAGGTTGAGGCCTTGTGCAGGTTCAGGCCAGGTCGGGGGGCTTTGGCTTTAGGCTCAAGGCCCGTCGATTGAAATAGAAGGGCCTTACTAAAAGGTTACACTCGGGTTCGCAAAGGGGGTCTAGAAGGGTTCTAGAATCAGGGCGGGCCTCATTTTTTTTGGAATAGGGTTCTGGGATTCATTCTAGTATACTCATTCAGGAACGCTGAGGAAAGATGTTGGTACTATTTCAGGCTATGTTAGACTCAGTTGAGTTTGGGGGCTGCAAACTCGTAGGTTCAGAGTTGACCGCAGCTCTACCTCCTGCACTCGCTTGCATGAAACCTACATCCTAAACTCCAGAGCCCAAATCACTGGTCCGAAATCTGCCATAGCCAAGCTTGTTAAGCCCCATACCGCAAAGCCTGGACCAGCATAAGCACAGAACACCCCATAAACATCACTCCCAAATATCGCGAACAGACACCTCAAGCTCGGCCATGCAAGTTAAGATTCGCAATTCTGACCACGCCTCCCGCGTCGGCAAATAGAGCACTGACGGCCGGCGGCATAAGAGGCTCGGATTCACCGTCTCGCACTGCCCACTCTGGCGAGATTAGGAGATGTTACAGCAAAGAAGTGTACCAGTAGCTCTGTTGACATACCCACTGAAAATGCCTAGAAACATGCAACACACGTAGGGGCTTTTAACCCCGAGGACTACTGTTGGTTTTTCTGAACGCATATTGCTTACGTGCATGGGTAAAACTGTGCAGACACTAGGCAAAAACTTAAACACACAAAAATAAATACGTGTAAGCATACATACATGTACGTAAGGACACGGGCATATAGATATGATACAACATGCAAACACGTAAATCTACCTATGTAGCTCTCTATCTATCAATCTGTCTATCTACCCATCCGTCCGTCCATCCATCTGTCCGTCCCTCCGTCCGCTCATCCGTCCGTCCATCCATTCATCCCTCCCTCCCTCCATCCATCCTGCCAGCCAGCCAGCCGAATATATATATATATATGTATGGATGTATAGATAGATATATCTGTACGTGTCTGTGTGTGCACACATCTATGCATGTTGAAAAAGTCCTAAGCAACAACATGTTAATAGCTAAACACACAGGATACACACACACACACGCTGGACTGTAAATGGTAGATAGGTACTATAGATATTCAGGCAAGGCAAACAGATAGATAGATAGATAGATAGATAGAGAGGCGGATATATGTACATACTTATAACCTTTTGATCCCAAAGGTGATCCAACACCAAGCTCCGCTCCGTACTTTGAATTTGATGAACAGAGGTGCGTGAAACTTTCTGCTGCAATGTGAGGGTATAGGAGGGCTTTAGACTGAGGTGTTCAGGATTTGGGGATCTTTGTGGTTTAGGGGTTCGGGGTATGAGTATCTATAGGGGCTGAGGCTCTAGAGGACACTTCCGCTTAGCAGCAGAATGCGAATTGATGCGCTCAGAAACGAACCTGGTCGGGAATTAGATGAGGGCAGACGGCTTGTGACTTCTAGTCTGCCACGCTGGAAAAACAGTATCCTGAACCCTTCTCTTCGAGTCCTGATCAAAACTCCCCTCAACCACACATCCTACATCTCCTGGCGAATGAAACCCGACATCCGGCTTGACTCTTCGCTCTCCGAGCAGCCGTGCCTATGCCTGGAAGCATATTGTTGCGGCGACATTTCCCATAACCTTCCGTCTGTGCTTCCCTCACCTCTATCCCCAAAAAAGGAAAGGTCTAGGATCCAACAGGGGACTGAAAAGTGCTAATGACCTTTTCTGAGGAACCACTTCCACAATTCCGGATGTAGAGCCTGAATGGATGCGGCTCCAGCCCCAAACGCCTAGCTGCCATCCACGAAGAAAGGGGTTCTAGCAGTGCCGACGCCTCCTAGGATGTTAGATTCGGCAGATCCTAGTGCTTGCTAGGGTTTGGGGGTAAGGGTTCCTTAGGGGCTGTCCCAAACAAGGTGAATCCTTTCACTTGTGGAAGCAGTATACTTATATAAACCCCAAAAGGTTAGAGGTTGATAGCCTTTAAAGATATGCCAAGCACTCTCACTCAAAAACACCGAAACCTCCAAGAATCGCCGCCAGAGTCCTACGGCCCCCAATCCCAGAAAAAAAACACACAACTCCTGAAGCTCAAAGCTCGCAAACAAGCCCAGAACCCAAAGCAACAAAGCTCCAAAATTCCCCAGCCTCCTAGATCAGAGACAAGCTACAAAAGACCTCTAAGCTCAATGCCCCAGAAACAAAACCAAAGCCTAAACCCCAGCAGCTGTTTGCGATTCTCGCCTGCAAGGAAAGTTGAAACAGTACAGGACTGACGGAGGCTTTCTACCTCTCCAGCTGAAGGAGTTTGGCATCGCAGCTTGTGGGCTTAAGAGTTGAGGATTTAGGCGTATTGGGTAGACGAAAGGAGCTCAAAAGTGCTCAAAACATGCAACATGTGGATCTTATACTTGGCGCGGAAAAGGGCTGGAATCAGGAGTTCATTATGCTAGACCCAAATTTACAGCTTCAGTATCTCTTCGCATTCAAAGGCTTATGGTGTTAGGCCTGTCGGGTTGCTAGGCTTGGCCCTAAACCCTAAAACCGAAACCATTAAACCCCAAACCC